ACAATGGCCGTCTCTCTGGGGAACAGGTGGAGGGGAGGGGGCGATGACGAGTGACTCACAGGGCGCTGTGTGAATCTGGGAAAGTGGTGACCCTGGAAAGAGAGCAGGTCTGCTGCCCAATGATGGGATCAATGCCATTGAAAAAATGGTACTGGTCATTGGAACAAGCATGGGACAGGTACAGTATGGAAACAGTACCAGAGGAATAATTGTAAATGTTCACCAAAGCATATCACTTGGTGACACTGTAGATAATATACACTTTTATGAAAAACAGTGAAGTGCCAGGCAGATGATTAAGTTTCAAAAACTGTTGAAACTCATGGCAGTTTATTTTCATGTTTTATATGAGTCTCTCAATTTTCATTAAGGTCTTCTTTACTGTAGATGATGTTTTTTTCTTAGATTTCTTACTAAATGTAAAGTTTAATTGTATATAAAATGTATTTTAATTGAACTTTAATTTTATACTTTATAGAAAATCATTTAAAGTTGGTTTTTGTTTCTTAACCATGACATTTTCAGAACATGAGAGTTGTCCTTTCTCCACTAATCGATAGCAAAGGAAAATTTAAATGTCAGCATGCAAAAATCAATCAGGTACTCAGTTGTTTCAGCTGGAATAAAATATAAAGAAATAAAAAAAACTGAATTCACTTCAAATAGTCATTAGCTTGCAATAGGATGACTGACTGCTCCATAAAGCTGCTACAATCTATTATCTACGCACTCTTCTGTTTAGTCGGTTAGTGGCTGATTAAAATATGAGCAAATGATTTCAATAATCTTGTAACCCATTCAGCTAGACAGTCTGAACACAGAACTCAATTACCCATAAAGATACATATATATCTCAACTGCTTGACAGTCAATTAACTCAATTTACACCACAAAATTATAAATACAGAGAGAATATCAGCAAGAAAATGTCATGCTTTAAAACAGGCTTAGATATCAGTGACACATTTCTGATTTGATTGCCCATAAAATCTTTCAAGATATATTTGCTGATCACTTGTGACTGGAATCACTGTGGAAGGTCCACCAGTGGAGTATGGACAGCCTCCACACAACATGTCCAGATGTCACAGATGTGTCTCCAGGCTTGTGGCTGGTCCGCACTGTGAGTAAAAAGCTGCTCAGGGTTTCCCACACTGTGCTCTGTGTGCTGTGCTCCCTGCACAACAAAAGCAGCCGTGTGTGCTGAATGAGACATTAGTGACGGTGATTGGCTGTGTATTGTGGGTCAGCCACAGCCTGACTTCACACACCATCTGGACTGAGAGGAGATCAATAGCTGATATAATATCAATACCGCTTTTCCTCTGTGCTTCTTTTCTCTCAATGATAATCATGCACCACAGCAGTGAGGAGGTGGAGCGTAGCTTTTATTTGATTTCTTCTTGATATGTCAGTGAAAAAAGTAACACACAGTATTTTATTTATTTGTTTGTTTGTTTGTTTGTTGACTCTCAGGCACAGAGAACACAGAGAATTAGTGGGATACAATAACCTTCACTTTGCCCTGAAAGTTTGTATTTTACAGATAATAGTCAGATGTTACAGTGTCTAACAGGTGCCCCAGTGCAACACCCCTTTGACCAGCGAGAGAAGGTGCCCAGATGCTGGTGAGACTGAGGAATCCTAAAGACGCTGGAACTGTGACTGTGCTCTCCAGAGCTTTCCCACACTCTGCCCATTGACAGAGCGCTCACTGCAACAATAGAAGTGTGCCTTGTCAGATGCTAATTCGCTTAGACCAGCAGATAATGACAAGCCCCCTGAGTATATATGTACTCATGTTAAATATACTTCTATCAAGAATGACAAAAACACAAATGTTTAGAAAGAATACGGTCGAGGAAAAATGTGCTTCAGATTAAAACACTCCAAGTGCAATATGTCAGTTCAAATCAAATGCTAAACACTTTAAAATCATCATACCCTCTTAATCGGCATTACTGTCCACAAAGACCTGTCAGACAATGTTTAAATCTGTGTACAGGGATTATATGTATTGAGCAGAGGCCATTGGAATTTGGAAAAAGATTTTATTAATATTAAAGACATGATTTCCATTCTGACTGTCACTGAATTCTAAGTAGACTTAAGCATTGAGAGATTAAATGACAAACTTTTTTTTCCAGAACTAAGAAATAAACACCTGCACAAATTACCCCATTGAAAAATGACCTTTGTTGAACAATGAATATCCACTGACAATGATCTTTTGGAAGACTATGAATGCCGGGTTGAGGAAGGTCTTTAAATTCCTTTCCCTGAGTGCTGTGCTGTGCTACATGGGGCTTTCCAAGCACATTGGATCTGACCTCCTGCATATGAAGAGAATTTCAATGTTGTAGAAAGTGTGCCAAAGGAATTACAGCACTGTGTTTGACAGTTTCAACCCTGTTGCCAAACAATTGAGTCGCAAGCGATTCAGTGTTTGTGCTGCTCTTGCCCACACTGACCCAGAGGAGCTATCAGTGGCTCTCTGAGATGAAGCTGGACAGATAGATACTGTGAAGTAAGCCTGGGCCCAAGCCAGCCGTGACAGAAGTAACATTCAAAATGTCAGAACTCTCCTTTCTAAATGACGTACTTTCTCTAAGACCGAAGCTAATCAGTGAATCACACCCCCTTTCCCTGCAGGCTGTTGTGTGGGGGTCACTCCCTTAGTATCGGCCCACTGGGACTCTGAGAGTGAGTTTTCCTCTGTTTCTCACACTCTCTCCATTCACTGAGTGAAGAGGGGAGACAATAGAAGTGTGTCTTTATTACACATCACATTAGCGACGGTGTTTGATCTGCCAATGTGGGGGCAAAGATGCCTCATCCCCAGGAGACCATATGGGACCAAAGTGTCATTGTGCAGCTTCAGTCAGACCCCAGAAACCTGTGTCAGCGCAGATGGATTTAATATGCAACACATTTATACTCCTGGTGCCTTTTTGGCGGTAAACCAGGAGATGTTACAGTGTATGTTGTGTATTTACAGCACAAAATACTGCATGATCAGCAGCATTAATGTCCCAAAATATTATTCTTTAAAATATTATAAAATAAATCATTATATAATTATATTATAATAATACATATAATTGTTACGTGATTGTGATTACACATAAGTGATTACACATGATGGTTGTAATCACAATCACCTACTATTTCTACTGCTACTTTTAATACATTATTATACCTACTTAGACTGTTCTTTAAGACTTTATAATTATTTTATTTTCTGTGTGTTGTGTTGCATTACTTTTCTTTTGGTTACTACACAGGGAACTTTTAGTCCCTGAATCATCTTAGAACTGTACTAATTTCTTTAGTTTGGTATGTTTTCTTATCTTCATGTTATTTTACATCATGTTACATCAGTTTTTCAATTAATTGCTTTGAAAATCCAGCTTCAAATTCACCAGAATCCTCTAACAAACAGACAGCTGCGCTCACTGCTACAGAGCTGAATTTTGCTTTTGACAGTGATGGATTGAATTTCCATTGAATCTAAGCCTATGTTTGTCCATCATGTCTTTGATCTTTAAATAGGCACAACACACCTCCTATATTACTGTTAAATCTTATATCTTCAATTCAGTACCTGATACAACACATGTAGACGATGGTTCAATTGTCTAAAACAGATTTACATACCAGTATATTATTAAAATCCTATAGGGCTTAATAATACTTATGTTGAGGTCCAAATTAAGAACTATGCAAATACTTATAGCCCTGTCATTAAAATATCTGTTGTACTCAACTGTGTTCAAGGAGACTGAAAAATGCATTGAATAACTTTTTTCATCAAAACATTTATTCACCTTTTTCACTTTCCTCCAATTATGCATCACTAATAGCAGGATTATGTATTAAAATAAAATAAGCACACAAGTAACATAGGATTAATATTTTATTTCATTTCTCTATAGAGAACACTATAAAGTTCATAGATGAGAACCATGTAATAAATATTATTCACAAACATGAGTTCAGTTTTACTGATCACAATACTACTCTTTAAATAAACACCCTACATGAAGGTTACAGGTAATAGCCCATATCTACAAACATTGTAAACTGGACTGTGAGAAAACATCACATCACAACCACATCTTGAAGACGTCTCCAAGATCAGAACATGTATGGCACCCTTAACAGAGTGTACAGATTGAGAAAACACTTTTATAAAGCCTTTATAAAAGGCATGAATACATGTCATAAACATGTCAGAAATGAAATAGAGAATATTTATGTTTCACTAGAGAATACGTGTATTTCTTCGGAAATAACATGCATCACATCTTCAGATTACCCCTGAAAACCTAAAATCCTTCCATTAGGAAATAATTATTTCATTATACAGAAATACCACGCATGTGCATTGCACACAGATTTTGTGAGCACGCCGGTCTTATAAAACAAGAAACGTGCCCTTAGGGGATGTATTTCACATCCTCACAATTTAAAACTTTTTGACTCAATCTCTTGTGCAACAAGAAGATACAATTCATAGTGAATTGTCAATTTTTTGGAAAATATCTGTTGGCCTTTCTGTGAACGAAAGTAGCATTAACAATATTCTGCATTGCAGAAGAAGAATGAAGAACTCTTCATACACGTTGGGAATTTCTCTGAATGTCAGTCTTAAACTGGTTTGTTGAACTCTTCTGTGAGTGTTCATTGACAGGCCACAGCGGTCTACCAAGGACGCCAGAGAGGACTGATGCCTGAAGGCTCGCCTTTAATGGTAATGTGCTGGACGGGGGCACCAGGAAGGACTCTCTGACACTTGGGCTTCTCAGAGGAAAGTTGCGCATGCTGGAAATGGTTCAGCAGTCTTCCCTGGGACTCCACCTTCGTCCCATCCTGGGAGAGGAAGCGCTTGATTTCTTGGACACACCTGGAGTAGCCTTCACTTTCAGCTGAGGGCCCAGAGGGGGCGCTCACGGGCTGGCGCTGGCTGTGCCGCCTCAGGTAGCAGACCGCCATTTCCAGGATGTCAGCTTTTTCCAGCTTGGAATCCGGCTGCTGGTCCAGAAATTCCTGGCCCAGGAGCTGCCTGAGCTGCTCGATGCTGCTGTTGATGCGATCTCGGCGCATCTTCTCCACTATCGGCTTTCTCAGCTGCAAAACAAGGACAAGACACCTGTCAATCACCTGGCTCTGGGATCCAACACTGCTTACAGAGTTAAAATGGATATTTTTAAAAAGCACTGTAACATCTAAGCTTCACAACTCACCTTGATGGCCAGAGTCATGTGCTCCTTCGAATAGCCCATTGCTGCAGTGACTGTAGGTGCCATGGCTGTATCTGTGTGCTGGAGCGCTCTCTGTAGAGGGAGTCTGAGAGTCTGACTTGTGCTGGTTCATCTCTCCTATTTATAGTCCCCAATCTCCATACGAATGTGTGGGTCTGGGGCTTGTTGGAGTTTCTCACAGTCCGTAGCCAATGGACGAGCTCGGGGGACAATGGGGAAGCTGGGATTGCCACATGCTCAATGAAGTGCTTATTGCCGGGGACAATGGCCGTCTCTCTGGGGAACAGGTGGAGGGGAGGGGGCGATGGCGAGTGACTCACAGGGCGCTGTGTGAATCTGGGAAAGTGGTGACCCTGTAAAGAGAGCAGGCCTGCTGCCTGATGATGGGATCAATGACATTGAAACACGACCAGTCATCGGAACAAGAATGGGCGTGATGCAGAAAATCCTTGATGGGAAATCGATGAGAAACAATAATCTATCAATAAACATCTGGGTAAGATCATGTGTACAATATGGGCACAATAAAAGTATTTGGTGATTTTATTGTCTAACTGCACATCTTCCAAATTGCATCGAAGAAATGGGCCTGTCCAGGAACATTTGACTACAGTCGAGACAGACAAGATTAGAATGACTTGAAGTATAATTTCTCAGCTCTGTAAAGACTATGCAGTGCTGTATATGTCAATCTAATATAACAAAAAATGAAAAAGAGGATTTCTTATCATGTAGAAATAACTGTTGTACATGCAAAGACTTACAAATATTTTTAGTGGCCTTTAATACTTTAAAATATCATGTATTGAATTAGTCAGAAATGTGAGGAGGGTGTGTCAAAACTACAACTCTAAATGTTTCGCGGTAAGCTACAGCACATCGGTGTATTATACTTCAAAAAAAGTAGCTCTATATATGCATTCAGAATGAACGTATGGATATGATAAAATTCAGATAAGAATCATTTTTGGTGTTTGTATCGTTCCTTTCACCTCCGTTCTTAATCATCAAGAAGTCAGGACCTCAGTTTAGAATTTTTGGATGAAATAAGACGAATGTCACCTTCTTCAGCACCATGTGTACCCTGTCCCCTCACTGGAAATTCTGCAATAGAGGGAGAGTATCACCTGCAGGTCTGCAATCACCACTTATATCGTCATTCCCTTATTTGAGCCCCGTCAGCTCCCTGGGCCAGAGCTCAGCCTGGTTTCTATGGCGTTGAGCAGACGAAAAACCACAGGAGTCCCCCCCCACAGACTGGATGCAAGTACATTGTACATGCAGGTAAATCTTAAACCCCTAAAATACTGGTTTCCATTTATTCTTCTGGGTGGACTGCAGCAACTGGGTTAAAGTCCCTCCCTTCTCTCAAGGTACAACAGCAGTGACTGTAACTAGGACTTGATCCCACACTCCTCCGGTTTTGGGACCAGAGACTTACCCACCACACAGAGCTTCACCCCACCAGTTACACACTGTAGGCTGTTTTTGCCTGGCCATCCCCCATCCCAGCTCAGGCCAGGCACAGCTTGACTGCTGTGCACTGATGAAATCAGGGTACTAGGTGGTAGTGCTCCTATCATTTCCAAAGTGTTAGAAAATTCATATCAAAAACCCTAATCAGATATTTTCTTTTTAGCACAACAGTATGTACAGTATCATTCATCATTAATATTATAATTTTAAACAATTCTCTTAGTTAAGAAAGAATTTAGAAAAAAAGATTTTCAAAAACATTTGCCCCACACCAGTATTGTTCTTCAGGAATATAAAAGTTTAAAGGTATAACACTAAAAATTTTATGCAGGAAATGGAAATTTTCACAGGTGCTTGAAAATGCATACACCACCAACAACAAAACAAACAAACAACACAGTACAAATACCAGCTGAAAAAACTCCTCTCATAGTTATTAGCTGATCACTTGTGACTGGAATCACTGTGGAAGGTCCACCAGTGGAGTATGGACAGCCTCCACACAACATGTCCAGATGTCACAGATGTGTCTCCAGGCTTGTGGCTGGTCCGCACTGTGAGTAAAAAGCTGCTCAGGGTTTCCCACACTGTGCTCTGTGTGCTGTGCTCCCTGCACAACAAAAGCAGCCGTGTGTGCTGAATGAGACATTAGTGATGGTGATTGGCTGTGTATTGTGGGTCAGCCACAGCCTGACTTCACACACCATCTGGACTGAGAGGAGATCAATGGCTGGTATGTTATCAATACATTTGTATCAATACAGCACAGCCTTTAGGGTAAATCACAACAACACATTATATCATGGAACTGAGACAGAACCCATAGCCCAATATGTGGGGCTCAACGGGGGGAAATTAAAAAAAATTAAATGAACTGGACTTCCACCCAAAAGAGTATAAGGAAAGCCTTTAGTTTATTATATGATAGTACAGCTGAAAATCTTTTTATTATGTTTTAAATGTCCAGATGTTCTATGGAAAATCAATTTGATTGAATGTTTTTCATTTTTGTTACAGATGCTGCCCCATTACTCTAGCTGCTTATCTTTAACGTGCCGCAGTGATCTAACAAGAAATCTTTTGGGTGTCCCCGTTTCAGCATGCCTCTCCCCTGATGCTCCCCCTCGTCCACCCAGACAAGAAGGTGCCCAGGTGCTGGTGGGACTGAGGAATCCTAAAGGCGCAGGAACTGTGACTGTGCTCTCCAGAGCTTTCCCACACTCTGCCCATTGACAGAGCGCTCACTGCAACAATAGAAGTGTGCCTTGTCAGATGCTAATTCACTTAGGCCAGCAGATGTTGACAAGACTCTCAGGGACACATCTTATTCGTTAAATACAGTTTAATCAAGGACCTAATGAACACAAACATTTAGGAACAATGAGGACCAGGTGTATTTTCAAAAAGAAATCTCCTGGGATAACCTCCGCCAAAATTAGTAAATTAATTCAAGGTAATCAATGAGTTTTTAAAAATGCAAAGAAGTCACCCTCCACAATAAATCAGCATTATTATCCAATTAAAATTCTGTCAAAATGATCTTTCTAAATTAAGAATGGGGGTTGTGTTTGCTGAGCAGAGGTGACTGGGATTTGAATGTGGATGAGGTTTAACAAAGCATATTGAGATTTGTTTCATTCTACAGGTTCCACACTTACAACTTTCCTATTACCTTCCTATGATTGACTCCATAAAAAAATACTCAATAATGAATGAGGTGACAAGGACACGTTTCTGTTTTTTCAAGTAAATAAATCCTTAAGCAAAGGCCTACACCACATCACTTTCTTAAAAAAAGGAGATGAGAGTAATAAAAACACAAAATCTCCACAATTTTCAACTCCACTATCAGACATATTTAGCCACAAGATTACAATAACATCTGCTATCTTCACTGTGTGTTGCGTTCCTCCATTCAGGGAAAGCACTTTCAGAGAATAATATAGAAGAGCTAAGAGCTGTGCAGTGAGTTAAGATACACAGCAATACAGTGTTTGGGGATAGGCACTCTTTAATATGATACATGCTTTCACTAAGATCAAAACTAATCAGCAAATCGCACCCCCAGTTCCTCATCGCCTGTGTGCTGTTCTGTGGGTTGACTCTACAGGTATCATCCCACTGAAGCTCTGAGAGCGCGTTTTCCCTCTGTTTCCCACACTCTCTCCGTTCTGAGTTCAAAGGGGAAACTACAGAAGTGTGTCTCATTACACATCACGTTAGCGATGGTGTGTGATCTCCCATTGTTGGGGGGGGGAGCCTCAATTCCCGGGAGAGAAAGTACGTGTGTCACTGCTCACTTTTAGCCGAATGTCAGAAACTGGAGTCCGGCGGCTCAGATCATTTCTCATTTCACATCCAGCAGAGAGCAGCACAGTTAAAGTCATGCCGCTATGGTTGCGGTAAATGAAGAGATGCAAAGATGCGTGTCCTACATCAATAAAACGTTATAGCACATGGTCAGCAGTAAGCTACTGAAGTAACAGTGCCCCCCAAACTATAGAAGTATTATGATCACAATAGGTGGGACCGCTGTTACATAATTCTTGGGCCTTGGGTTCAGTGCTTAGGATTCTGTAATGTCTCATGTGTGGAGTTTGCATGCTTTCATTCAAGACAGGGCGTCTTGATTATTTGGTGTCTGTAAATAATTCTTCAATAAGCTGCTTTCTGATAATAGACTAATATAATAATAACTAATTTTGAATCATATTAGATATTAGATGTAATAACAAGAAAATTATAATGATTGTGATTTTAAGACTTTGTGAAAAACAGCTTCATTCAAATACTGTATATCCCATCAGTTACTTTAGCCCATCAGTTCAGACTCTACTTGAATGTACAGTACAGTATGATTCATCATTGTAAGTTCTATGCCTTGTGTTGCACTGCTGAACACAGTGATTTGACAGTTTACGCATCATCTTAGAATGTAATTTATTTCTTCACATTGGCTTGTATTGGTCATTGAAATGTGTGGCTTTTGTTTTATTAACCAATTGAATAAAAATGACCATCCCAAATTGTGAACATATAGGTGTTGTCAGAGTGGCAGACTTGAAAGGTGCTTATGGCAGGTAAGATCCAAGATCTGAATGAGAAAGTTTAGGTCTAAGTATCAAATTCTTTACTTCCAGAGTGTATATCCTTCAGTACGTCAACTCTTCTATTCAGTACCAAAGAGAAGCTCAAAAGTTTAAGTGTTAATGTCGAAATGTACAATTACATATGTGAAACTTAGAAAGAACTTGGAAAGAAACACCTTTCCAATATTTATGGGAAGTAAATGAATTCAGATTTATTTCATATCAATGGCTTTAAATAAATTTTTGTAAATTATACAGGAGAGATTTTACTTTCAAAATGAATTTCCCTTGTTTGAAAAATTGTAATCTGAACAAAGTACATCTTGTGAGTAATGTTATTAATTGACTCAGTTTCTTTCACTTAATCATTCCAATGTACTACTGAATGTAAAGTAATATACTAAAATAACATTAAGCACACAATGGAATATAAGGCTCAATTGTTTATTTGGATTTCTTTAAGAGGGCAACCACTTCAAATGCACATGAATTACGTAACAGAATCCAGTTTTCTGATTACAGCAATTACATCTTAAAAGTACCTTACAAAAAGGTTACAAGTGTCCACAAACATTGTAAACCAGACTGTGAGAAAACATCACAACCACATCTTGAAGACGTCTCCAAGATCAGAACATTTACATCACCCTTAACAGAGTGTACAGAATGAGAAAGCACCTTTATAAAAGGCATGAATAGACATAATTATGTCAAGATTTCTCAAAAAGAATATAACGAAAATATTTATACTTTACTACAAATATGTACAAATTTGTACATTTCAGAAATAAAACTAACGAGATTAGAGAATCCAAGTGCTCAATTTAGGCATTAAACTTTAAAAACCACATTTTCAGATAAGCGCTAATATTTTCATTATTAAGAAAGGTTCTTATGAAAGATACAAAGTTGCCTTCACAGAAGGTAAATGCCTAAATTAGACAGCAATTTTACTTTAACAAGGAATATGATAACTTATATATTATCGAAAAATGTCTTGTAATAAGAAGTATTTTGCATGCCTATTATTGTCCAACTATTGGTAATATGTCTTGTCCTTTCTGTGAAAGAAAGTATAATTTAGAACATTCCACATAGCAGGAAGACATCAATTTTCTTTAAAAAGGAAAAATGCTATTTCAACATTATTGAAATAACTTCTTGTGTAACAAGTAGTACCAGATATGTGTAGTGCGTTCCCACATTTGGGTAACATTTCTTTGCTTTCTGTTACTGAAAGCAAATCTGATAATATTCATTACTGGTAACAAAAGTGGCAAAAAGTTGCTTTACATAAAACTTTTTTAAAGTAAAAGCTCTTCACATGATTCTTTTTAAACAAGATACAATCTTGCCTTCACTGAAGGCAGGTTTCTGAGTTAGAAACCAATTTCCTTTTAACAAGAAGAATCACAGTTTCAACATTATTAAAATAATTTCTTGTGCAACAAGTAGTACCCGATATGTGCGGCGTGTTCCCACATTTGGGTAACATTTCTTTGCTTCCTGTTACTGAAAGCAAATCTGATTCTGCATAGCAGAGGAGGAAGAAAAAGTCTTCTACACACTGAGAATTAGTGTCCTCGCCCATCACAGACTGGACTGTTCAATTCTGTTTGCCTGAGGGTTTAGTAAGAGTCCACAGTGCTCTACCAGGGCCTCCAGAGGATTGTGTTAGCCTGAGTCTCTCCTTTGATGTTGGTGTGATGGACTGGGGAGCTCAGCTGAGGCAGGACACTCTGACAGCTGCTCTTATCCAAGGAAAGCTGTGTGTTCTGGAAATGGTTCAGCAGTCTTCCCTGGGACTCCACCTTCGTCCCATCCTGGGAGAGGAAGCGCTTGATTTCTTGGACACACCTGGAGTAGCCTTCACTTTTAGCTGAGGGCCCAGAGGGGGCGCTCACGGGCTGGCGCTGGCTGTGCCGCCTCAGGTAGCAGACCGTCATTTCCAGGATGTCGGCTTTTTCCAGCTTGGAATCCGGCTGCTGGTTCAGGAGCTGCCTGAGCTGCTCGATGCTGCTGTTGATGCGATCTCGGCGCATCTTCTCCACTATCGGCTTTCTCAGCTGCAAAACAAGGACAAGACACCTGTCAATCACCTGGCTCTGGGATCCAACACTGCTTACAGAGTTAAAATGGATATTTTTAAAAAGCACTGTAACATCTAAACTTCACAACTCACCTTGATGGCCAGAGTCATGTGCTCCTTCGAATAGCCCATTGCTGCAGTGACTGTAGGTGCCATGGCTGTATCTGTGTGCTGGAGCGCTCTCTGTAGAGGGAGTCTGAGAGTCTGACTTGTGCTGGTTCATCTCTCCTATTTATAGTCCCCAATCTCCATACGAATGTGTGGGTCTGGGGCTTGTTGGAGTTTCTCACAGTCCGTAGCCAATGGACGAGCTCGGGGGACAATGGGGAAGCTGGGATTGCCACATGCTCAATGAAGTGCTTATTGCCGGGGACAATGGCCGTCTCTCTGGGGAACAGGTGGAGGGGAGGGGGCGATGACGAGTGACTCACAGGGCGCTGTGTGAATCTGGGAAAGTGGTGACCCTGTAAAGAGAGCAGGTCTGCTGCCTGGTGATGGGATCAATGACACAACTCTACTAACTGGACTGTACACGTGTTTAGGTGGGAGCACATCTGTCCATGGAGAAACAGCCGCAGAGATGTGAAAACAGCAATGTGGTAGCCTATGCTGAATTAGATGGTACGATTAAAACATACATAAATAAGCTGAAGTTATTGTGTCTCAAGGCACTCAATTATCAAAATACAAATAAAAAAATCAAATGCATTAAATGCAAGGTAGTACTTTAATCTGTTGGGGCTGTGTCACAACAATACGTGTCAATGCTGTGATGAACACCAGCAGCGGAAGAAGAAACAACAGGATCAGAGTTGAGAATTGAGTTGCGCTGAACCGGTAGAGAAAGTGACTCTATTCCCACACTCCCGCCAAGACAGCGTGCCGCCTTGCATTGTGAGCAGCACACGTCCCGTGTGTCCCTGCGCGCGCAGATGGGCCGCCTGCCGGAGATTTGCACACACACGCACAACCCCGAGCTTTCACTGAACGTGGGAGTCGGACTTTCACAAAGCTTCCCACACTCCTATTCACAGGCACTGAAAAGCGCCAACAAAGGACGTGTGCCCAGTTCTACAGAGCAGCACTGACAGCTTTCACTGTCATAACAGGGCAGGAAGGAAGCAGTGGGGTGGAGGGTTTGAGTAGACCATCTGGATTTGAACTATTCATTCACAGGTAACCTGCTCCTCTGGATAGAAATTCATCGTTAGTGCTCTGATTTCCCAATAGTATTTTGCTTATAGACCATGTTCCTCCGTATTTGGAAAACTAGTTTGCATTGGCATATTGGTGACCATTAGTGGCAGTTCATTGGTTTAATAATAATAATAATAATAATAATAATAATAATAATAATAATTGGTTACACTTATATAGCGCTTTTCTGGACACTCCACTCAAAGCGCTTTACAGGTAATGGGGATCCCCTCCACCACCACCAATGTGCAGCCCCACCTGGATGTTGCGACGGCGGCCATAGTGCGCCAGAACGCTCCCCACACACCAGCTATCAGTGGGGAGGAGAGCAGAGTAATGAAGCCAAGTCATAGATGGGGATTATTAGGAGGCCATGATTGGTAAGGGCCAATGGGAAATTTGGCCAGGACGCCGGGGTTACACCCCTACTCTTTTCGAGAAACGCCCTGGGATTTTTAATGACCACAGAGAGTCAGGACCTCGGTTTTACGTCTCATCCGAAGGACGGCGCCTGTTTTACAGTATAGTGACGGGGACACTAGGACCCACATGGAGCGCAGGGTGAGCACCCCCTGCTGGCCCCACTAATACCTCTTCCAGCAGCAACCTTAGTTTTCCCTAGTGTAAATGATTATATGAATACACTTTAGATTGTCCCAACCCTTAGTTGGAATAAGCGGTTTTCTGATAGGGAATAAGGATGGGGAATGGGGGGATAATGGATAGGTGTATAAGAATGCTATTTATATAGCATTTTCCATTCCAAAGGATCCCAAAGACTTTTACACATAAGAGGGCACCCATTTCATCTATCACTGAATTACAGCATTCCCACTAAACAATAGCTCAGGCACAGAAATGAGAAGCTATTTCACCGGGTGAAGTACACAAGAACTCTGGGGAGGTAAGACTAGTGGAATTTATTCTACATTTATTCCCTGTCTCCATAATGGAGCATTAGAAGCTTCCTGCTGGTCAACACCACTTATAGCAACAGCCTGATTTTCCTTACAGGTCTCCCACTCTTGCCAAAGCCTAGTCTGAGTTAGCTTCCGAGAAAACGATCCCATTTCAGGGCAAAAATATGAAAATGTGTTTACAGTAAGGGGGATTCAAATTGTATATAACTGGATGCACAGTGCAGCTATATTTTCCTGTGCAGCTATATAACCTGTTGATGTTTTATGATAATGCAAATAAAATGTGTTTGTCTGGCCTACATATTCAAAACTTACAGGCAAAAAAAATAAGCTTCTACATAGTATGTGAACATAAGTACCACAGGACAGAAATACTCCTTGGATTATAGTCTCTTAGTCAGTAGTTACTGTTTTACTTTCAGAATGAATTAGCATCTGACAAGGCACACTTCTATTGTTGCAGTGAGCGCTCTGTCAATGGGCAGAGTGTGGGAAAGCTCTGGAGAGCACAGTCACAGT